CATCGACTTGATGCTCAGATTTTGCCATGTGCGAAGCTACTGGGTCGGCGCCTGCTCTTAGTGGCAGATAGCCCGAAAGTGTAAGACGAGTCTAGCCACATGACTGGTCATAGCCAGATTCTTTTAATCTATCTACCCTGACCCACATGATCTACCCTGTGCATGACCGTCGCCTAGGCCCGGCTCCTGTGCATCTGGGGTATTCGACGAGGCGCTTGCGATGTTGCAATCTCAAAGCATACACCTAGGAAATTGTCTCCAAACATGGCGTTCGGCCGACCTCTAACCAGCAACAGCTCCACGATGCCCAGACCTAGGCATGCCCGAGTCTGCAAACGACACTACACTCCGTGGCCAACGTTCACGCGCCTGACTTCGCCGCCGTCATTTGCGATCTTTGACTGGCGCCGTTTCAAAACAAGTCTGTTCCAATCAGGCAGGTCAAAAGAAAGGTGTCGGACTCGCCTTCACGTTGCTTGTCTCGCGGAAGCCTCACAAGACTCCCTGCATTCACCGCATCACAATTATGGATGTGAAGTGAGTGCTCTGACGTCTAAGAGACTAACACATGAGCACGCGCGCTTGAGGCTTATGCTGCAGGGCAAGATCATAGGGCAGACTCATGCAGTGCGACGCATGGCATTTCTACCCAAGACTACCCCACATTTAGGCTTCGTGGCGAACTACTGTTGACGGCGCAAATCTGGGGTCTTTAAGATTCATGACCGCGGAGCCAATTGCCGGCTTCAACGCTCTGGTCTTGGCACTAGCGTCCGTCACATGCTTCCAAGGTTTGGTCGGTGTTTGCACAGTCACTGGACAGCGCTTCAACGGAAATAATATGCGTAGGGCCGTCCCGGTGACCAACGCTGCATCGAGGTTAGGTGCATATCCCCTGAGTTTTCTCACAACTTCTGCTTGTAGCTCACCCACAGCATGTGTTGGGCAGCATGTTAGGTTATCATCGTCATCTGCAGCTATTCATGTTCAGATAGCCACTGCAACTTGCGGACGTAAAGCATATCACACTGCTCACGAGAATGGAACAGGCTGTTCTACTTACCAAACAACACAAAACACCCTTCGGAGGTGTGGCTTGAAAAGGAAGGGCGCGTACCTACACCCTCCCTTTCCCCAGACTATGTTACTCAAGCTAAGACATCTCGAAGCCGGGACCGAAGTAAGCTATGTAACCCTTCAAACGGCAACGGGGGTAGCCGCCTAGTGAGTTAGTCTTCGACAAGGCCTTATGACCTCCTAAGTGGTAGACGGTGAGTATCTCATCACCGGATGTCGCTAGCTAGCCAGTCGGCAGGCTTCACGGGGGGCAGATCTCCAAATGATCGCGTGGGTGTATGGTTCTTTCTCCTATCACGCACTACCACGACGTGTAGCTGTGAGCAAACGGGGTGATTAAATAGGCATCATGGTCTCCCTCTGAGACTTCTTCTCGCTACTACAGTCTACACTCCTTTGTACTCCTCCTTGTGTTCTCACTGAACATACCATTATCTATTGGCATATACTCACGGCTATGCATTTGTCCTTCTTGCTCGCCTGCCTCAGTGCAGTCGGCATTCAGGGTGCTGCTATTGGTAAGCAATGATCTTTTCCCCTGAACATCTCCACTACTAATACACAACAGCACGCTTCCCCAGACAGATCGTAGTGAATGACACCGAGCCTAACTCCAATATCAGCAGCATCCAAGGAGTTGCTGCTATCACGGATGGCTACTGGCTGAACGACCTCTCCGGCAACGGAAGGGCCGCGTTCAACGCCAACGGCGCCTACAAGGTCTTCCGCAACGTCAAGGAGTACGGAGCAAAGGGTAAGCTACTTTGCTTTTTGTGTTTCAGTCCAAGTCTAACATCTTCATAGGTGACGGTGTCACCGACGATTCCGATGCAATCAACCGTGCCATTGCCGACGGCAACCGTTGCGGTCCCGGCGTGTGCGACTCGGCTACGGATTCCCCGGCCGTCGTTTATATCCCTTCTGGAACGTACCTCATTGGCAAGCCTATCATCTTCTACTACATGACTCAGCTCATCGGCAACCCCCGAGGTCTTCCTGTTTTGAAGGCTGCTCCAACTCTCCAGGCTATTGCTCTCATTGATGCTAGTCCTTACCAGAACAACGGTGCACCCGGCTGGACATCAACCAACATCTTCCTGCGCCAAATCCGCAACTTGATCATCGACGGCACTGCTGTTGCACCAACCAGCGGCTTCCAGGGTATCCACTGGCCCGCTTCGCAAGCCACAACCATCCAGAATGTCAAGATCCGCATGACACAGGCATCCAACTCAGTTCACGCAGGTATCTTCGTCGAAAATGGATCTGGTGGCCACATGGCTGACCTCGACATTGAGGGTGGCTTGTACGGCATGAACATTGGAAACCAGCAGTTCACCATGCGCAACGTCAAGATCTCCAAGGCTGTTACTGGTATCTCGCAGATCTGGGACTGGGGCTGGTTGTACGCTGGTCTTACTATTAGTGAATGCGGCACTGCTTTCTCTATGAGCAACGGTGGCTCCGCTAATAAGCTTGAGGTTGGCTCTGTTGTTATTATCGACTCAGAGATCACCAACTGCCAGAAGTTTGTCGATATGGCATGGACCCGTAACAGCGTTCCTACTGGTGCCGGACAGCTCATGCTAGAGAACATCAAGCTCAACAACGTACCCAACGCCGTTGTAGGAAACGGAGCTACCGTGCTTCAGGGCGGTACATTCACTATCCAGGCTTGGGGCCAGGGCAACAAGTACGCTCCCAATGCCAACGGTCCGGAGAAGTTCCAGGGAACCTTCACCCCTGTTGCTCGTCCAGGAGGCCTTTTGGATGGCAACAAGTACTACGCCAAGTCGAAGCCGCAGTACGAGAACCTCAACTCTGGCGACTTTATCAGTGCTCGCGGCAGTGGAGCTACAGGTGATGGTCGTACCGACGACACTCAGGCTGTTCAGAATGCCATCAACAGGGCTGTTTCCTCGAACAAGGTATGACCCCTTTCAATCTTACGCCATCTCATCTTCCCAGACTAATCACACCCAATAGGTCCTCTTCTTCGAGCACGGCGTCTACAGAGTAACCAACACAATCTACGTCCCCCCCGGCTCCCGCATGGTCGGCGAGACCTTCCCCTCAATCATGGGCTCCGGCTCCGTCTTCTCCAACAAAGACTCCCCCGTCCCCATCATGCAAATCGGCAAGCCCGGCGAAAGCGGCCGCATCGAATGGTCCGACATGATCGTTCAAACCCAAGGCGCCACCCCCGGCGCCATCGTAATCCAATACAACCTCAACACCTCACGCGGCTCCGGCCTCTGGGACGTGCACACGCGCATCGGCGGCGCCAAAGGCACAAACCTGCAAGTCGCGCAGTGCCCGTCCACCGTCGGCAGCGTAAAACCCGAATGCATGGCCGCCCACACAAACGTACACGTAACCAAGGGCGCCAACGGCGCATACTTCGAGAACAACTGGTTCTGGACAGCCGACCACGACATGGACGATGCGCGCAGCACGCAAATCACCATCTTGACCGGCCGCGGCCTGCACGTCGAAGCCTCAAACGTGTGGCTCTGGGCCAACGGCGTCGAACACCACGCAAACTACCAGTACCAATTCAACGGCGCATCCAACATCTTCGCCGGCTTCATCCAAACAGAAACACCATACTACATGCCCACGCCCGACGCCTCCAACCAACCCTACGGCACCTCCTCTGCCTACTCCGACCCCGTATATCCATCTGGCGCCTCCGCCTATGGTCTGCGCGTGCTAAACTCCAAGAACGTGCTTGTCTACGGTGGGGGTTTGTATTCTTTCTTCCGCAATTACAGCACCAGTTGTTCGAGCGCGGATGCGAGTGGTGGGGCGCGGATATGCCAGAATAGGATTTTTAGTATTGAGGGGGATAGCAGTGTGCAGGCTTTTGCGCTTAGTGAGGTGGGCAGTGAGTGGATGGTTACGGTGGATGGGGTGGATAAGGCGAGTTGGAGGGATAATTTGAGTGTTTATTCGAATACTATTGGGTGGCTTGGGTATAGGGTTTAGGGTGAAGGAGGGAGAATGATGGGGGTTGGGAGATGGGCGGGAGAGGATTGGATGTATGGGACTGGACTGTATATATGGGATGGAGAGTGGTGTTTGGTGTTCTTGGGATGGGAGCTGGGTTGGCTGGTTGACCACGGTCGCTAACTTTCTGTCCCGATGGATGGGATGGAGTCTTGGGTTGTATACTGCTGTTGTAGTATATTCTTTCTCACTGAATGCAAAGGATCAAAACTTATCGGATCTTCCTCCCTCTCTACTAAGAATGGTCTGTGTGGTACCCCGCATCTAATGGTCGTCTTTCTGCGAACTGGAATCCGTGACCTGAAGCTCACTCGCTTCGTTCAGCTGATCAGCATCGACATCACCTGCGCGTCAGGGTCAACCTTCCACACATGCGACATCGGCGACCACTACATGCATTGCACAACAGGGTAGTCAGGGGGTTACTCGTATATGCAGTGCTTGCAAACGTTGGTATGTAAGAACACCAGGTAATCACAAGTAACCGAAGTTTACATTGCACATTCCAGCTGACCCTCATGCAAGGCTAGCACACACAACACAACCTTCAACCTCCCCATCCGGATTGCCAACATACAAAGTGAAATGTGGAGTCAATCCATCGACACTCAAACACGTAATTACTCCCTATCAATGAGCAGCAATACCGAAAGTCGTCACCACCCAATGCATGTACATGTCTTTATGCAAGCAGCTTTTTTGGATAAGAATTAAGGAATGGATAAGAAAAATAGGAAACGGAATATGGGTAGACATATCCAGACGCGGTGATGAGGATGTGGGAATCGAAAAATATGGATCTCATGTCCGGAGCGGGACTCGCTGAACGCCATACCCAAACGCAAAGACACAACAGAATAAATGAAGTCGCGTGACACAACAAGAGTTTGCGTCGGACAGGGGGAGTATGATCATCACTGCATGCGTTTTCGCTTACGCACGTCATCTCCCTCATCCTCCTCACTGCGCTCCGCTGTCTCCGCGGGATTGAGGAGCGAGTGGACATTGGACGCCATACTAGATCGTCGAGTAGGTGGTCCAGTGTCGAGGCCTTTGAAAGGGTATCTAGCTCCCGGTAGTGTCCAGCCAGCATCTGGATTTAATGTCGATGGCATGTTCTCATTTTGCGGTGGAGGAGAGCCGTGTCTTGACTGTGCTTGCCGTGGACCGCGGGGTAATTGGTACGATTCCAATGCATCACGGAGCTGCTGGTCACCACCTCCGATAGGTGGATGGCGCGGTGACGAGGGCCATTGTGTGGAGTTGTAACCAGAAGCGTAGGGCGAATTGACAGCAGGGTTGGGTGGCTGCGGTTGCCAACCGTGTAAGCGGATATCTGCCGAGGTGTGCCGCCTATATAGATTATACGGAGGGGACAAAGTGCTTGGCAAGTTGCTCCCCTGGTTTGCACCTCCCGGCTGCTGTACTTGTGGAGGAGGAGGTGGGGGTGGCTGATGGGAAACTGGGGTCCTGGCTGAAGATGGAGAGTAATTACCCGTGCCTATTGAACCGTAACGTCGCGGAGAAATTGCAAGATGGGCCGGGATCGCAGCCTTGTATGGAGCTTGCCGTGAAACGTTCGCCAAGGATCCTCTCCGCGATTCTGTTAGATTGTCTTGTGGCATTTGCCGGGGTGAAAGGGGTGGGCCGTTGCTGCTGTCTACTTGCATAAAGTAGGATTGGCGTGCGGAGAGAGGTGCATCTTCTGGTGGCTCCAATGCTCGGAGCATGTCTGTTTGTCGAGCAATCTCACGCTGCATCATGGCGACTGCAAAAGTCAGTGTGTGTCGCGCAGATAAGGTTTGAGCATTGACGCGTACCATCCCTATGGATAGGGTTTTCCGGGTCCGGCACCATTTGCATGATGAGGTTTGCAAGGTCCTGATTCCACTGTATAATCTATTAGCTGTTGTACATTGGAGTCTAGACAATCGACTTACTTGGTGGCATTTCATCATGCCCTCGGCTAGCACCGAACTCCTTTGAGTGAGGTATGCGCATGTGTCTTCTGATCGCTGCATGCGCGCATGCATGTCATGGAGGTTGTATTCGAGACTCTGGAGACGTGACTCGACAGGGTCCGGCATTGGGTCGACCGCCTGCCCAGCTGGTGGGCCAAGGGGCATTTTGGGCGCGGGGAAGGACTCGCGATGGACGAGGGCATGTCTAGAAGCACGTCGCTTGATCTCGCGCAGACCGACCAGATCGCCTCGCTTGAAGTTTCCGTTGCCGTGCTTGAACTCCCATAGGGGAGTGTCGGGCGATCCAGTGTGGAACACGTCGCTCACTGCGGCAGTACAGTCAGCATGTGATTATGGCATGGCGGAAGGAACTCGGACACGTACCCTTGTGGAAGCCGTACATGTTCAGCTGGCGCACAAATGAGGAAATGTTGGTGTGCTTGAAGTAGGACCTGGGATTTGTTAGTCGGAAAGCCTGAAGCGGCCGTGGCTTCAGGTGTACGTACGAAAGGACTTTGGAGAACTCGCTAGAGGGTGACATGACGAAACTCTCGTTAGTGCTCGCCCAGGAGATGAGGTGCTGGATGCTCTGGTCTTCGAGCATGCTGTGTCGTGTTAGTGTCGCATCGCGTGCGTACTGTTGCGGCACACGTACTTGTATAGCTTGTGTATGAAGGCCGTCTGGACGACCTTGGGCTGTTGTGCAGCTGCGGCAGCGCCCACTGCAGGCCCCGTGCTGCCATTGGGAGGCGATGTGTTTTCCGAATCGCCGTTTCCTTCTCTTTGCGACGGCAGTTGGAACGAGACCGATTGGGTGCGCTCGTTGGGCGGGCCCATGGTCGACGACGAGGGCGTGATGTCCATGGGGTCCCGGGATGCCGCAAGCCTCGGGCTGGACGAGGGCAGGATGGGAATCGACTTGTGCAGGTTGGGATGGTGAGGGTCGCCCGAAAAGGGACTGCGGCGGGCCTCTGCGACAGAAGCCATGTGGGCGATGTGGAGAGCAGGCGTGGTGTTAAGGTGTCAGGCCTGCTGCGTGCGTGGAGACGGGCGCACGGGGGTCGTGCAGGGGAAAGGGAATTGACAGCGTGCGATGGGCGCAGAGATTCAGAAGTGTCTCGAAAAATGCTTGAGGTCGGGTGGATGCAGGGTCCCGACTATGGGTGGCAGCGAACGTGGGCGGGCGGAGAAGATGCGGAGGAGCATGCGATATGTGTGGCCGACGTCGCCGCAGAAGCTTCGAATCGGCGGGCGAGCGTCTTGGAAGCTTCCTAGGCTTGGGGATTTCTTCTAGCGCCTGCGCGAGCCGTAGAAATATGGTTCCAGAAAAAGTCGGCGTGGCAGACGGTGCCAGTGGTCCTTTGTCGGATCGGGAGCGGCCGTCGCTGAGGAATAGGAGCTCGCGCAGTCCGAGGGGCAGGTCCGAGCGCTGAAGACGACGACAATTCCAGATGCTCCGGGATACTGTGTTTGAGCGTGCAAGGCTTGGCGGAGGGAGGAGGAGACAGGTTCGTGGGAACTTGCAGACTGCGAGGCGCGGCGAGATATGCTGGCGTGTCGCAACACTGGCTACGGACGGAAAGGAGGTCCAGGCACGGGGCGTCGAGGGCGGAACGGTAGCGCTACCGCTGAGAATACTATGGGGGATCGCGATGTGGGAGCGTGCTGCGGGAGCATCTGAAGGCCTTTGCGCACCACCAGCCGAGCCAAGTGTCATCCAACGCTGAGGGGACACATGGTCATCTTCATTTATCTACCTATCTATCACCGCCCTCAGCACTGTGTAGCTCTAGGTACCCCAACGCCCGCTGACAGTCCATGGCCCGCCGTCCGGGTTTGCTGCCATGGTAGGGCAATGGCATGCAGCTCATGGCAGAGACGTCCCTCCTTGTCGACGTTGCATGTGCCCGCCACCCCTGTCGTCGGCCAGCTGCAGGTCGAGACACTGAAACATTGCTCGACCATAATAACCCACCGCTAATATCACTATAACGCGAACTGTTTCTGCTGCGGGGTCAGCATATAATGCGCCTCATATGCCTATGCTCCTCCCGAGTGCCCGTGATGCGGCTGCGGATGCGGAAGGCAGTGGCACAGACTAGAATACCGAACCTTCGCCAGAGTTGCCTCAAATGCTGCCGGGCAGCTGAAGCCGACTGACTCCCTTGCCCATGGTCAAACATTGCTAGTACGACTCGCGAGCATCGACGCCATCCTCGGCTTTCACGCGTGGTGTAAGCCAGGGGAGGGTCCAGGGTCTGCAGGCAGCCTACACGCACAGACCTCCTTGGATAAACGTCAACCACCAACCTTCCTTCGAGTCAGCCTCGACCGACTTTCCCCAGGCCAACCCAGGTGCCGTCAACGCAGAACGTTAGCTTTACCCCGACGCTACCACCTGCCGTCACCGCACCAGTCTATCACCGACCGCTCGGGTGGCGAGTCGCTGTCCTATCGATTGCCCTGCCTTTGATCGGCAGAAAAAGCAGCATGGCTACCGAATTCATCAATGCCTTTCGACGCATGCATGTACATGAGAGAGAACAGGCACTCAAAGCTCTAACAGCAGAATTATCGCCGTATGAGTGGAGGACGCTCCACGCCACGATAAGTAGTCGTACCTTCCAATTCGACGTCATCGGCAATCTACCCGTTGAGCTAGTGGCCCAGGTGTTCTCGCATTTAGACGTTGCTGCTCCTTACCGCTTGCAAAGTGTCTCAACACGATGGAAGCACATTCTCCAGAGCTTACACGTTATCAAAGCAAGCCTCAACAATTGGTACCAAGGTACTGTCAACTTCCAAGATGCCGACCACGCTCTGTGTCAGAAGAAAGCCTGCAAGATAAATGCCTTTCGTACTGGCAAGCCGCGTAAAGTCTACAAGATAACACCCAAGGACAGTATAGATGATATCTATCTAGCAGGAAACAGTCTCATCTGGCAAAGCCTAACCTTCACCCCGCAAAACCAATCGCGAAATGTTTGCGTCCTCGATCTAGCTACATGGGATCTTCGCTTCCTGGGTGGCGAAGGCCGTGAACGAATTATCGACGTCTTCGTATCTAGTGAGATTGTGGCGCTAACAACCTGGGCGAACATCTGCTACGTTCACGAACTGCATGGCAAACGAGGTTGCAAGAAGTTCAGAGTACCAAATAACAACTATTTCGCCAGCGTTGCCTGTCGAGAGCGCACTGTCGCATGTTATCATATCGACTCCGGTTTTGCATCGGTGTATATCTGGGAATATGACTCCCAGCGTGGAAGATCCTTCAATATTAATTTTGAACCCAATAACATGTTCTGGGGGACCGATGTCGTGTAAGTAATCTCTCTGGGGCTGCTGAGCGGTGCTCGTACCCTTTGAAGCCAAGGAATACACCAACACTGGGATCCTCTATGCATTCTTTGCACGTAAAGCTAACCCGAGTCTAGCATGAACGAATCGATTGGTATCGCTCCTATCATACAGCCTGCGACCCAGACAATCATCTTATTTGCCAATGCCGCACGTAACAATGACGTTCCTGTCCATCAACAGTTCTTCGCGTTCGGGCGCTACACATACAGCGGGGAATGTCTTAGCACACATCACGCGAACTTCCTCGGGGTAACTGCTTTCTCGGAGTGGTCCTATACTACGAACACCTTCGTCCCAGTCGACGACAAACAGAACATACTGTCAATAGTCATGCGAGACACCAACGGCAAGTCATCCTTCCTAGTGCGATTCAACGAAGAAGAGATGGACATGAGTGTATGGGAGGGTTCCCGGCTATATGAACATCCCGAATTCTTTCATACCAACGGTGCCATGGCGTGGTGGAAGGACACATGCTACGCCGCATTCTGGGATGGGGACGTCGAAATGCGTGACACGATTGCGCTTATGGATGGTAAAACCGACAAGCATGACATGAATGCGGTTGAGGGCGCCAGTAACGGCAAATCCTATAAGCCCATCGTGTCTGAATCAACGGACCACGAGTCACTCGATCTCGATATCAACGCCCCCGTTGTTATGAACGAAAACTATGTTGTCAGAAACGCGGGGAATAGGTTCTACGTACTCTGTTTTGACGATGACGACGAGGGCAAGTGGCCGAGGGAGAGCGGGCCGTTCTTTGATATGGGAGAGCTTGAGGTGTTGAAGGGTTTGGATACGTGGTTCGATCAACCACATTACAAGGGGTGGCTACAGTCTCGGCCATATGCCCGTGCAAAGGATATGTTAGGGGAGCTGCTTGCATTGCGTTCAGAATCTGACTAGTCATTGAGGTATAGTAGTGTATCTGTAGCAACCCCTAGTAACGCTCCATACAACAGGACACTAATCAGCTCTGAACTCTCTGCTGCGCCCAGATTCCCCTAATTCACATCTCCTACGTCGCACGCCATAGCATCCAAAATCTCTACTCCGATCAACCCATCACTAATCAGTCGACCATGACCGATAACGAATCTGAACTGTGAAATGGTAAATTCGTTAGATCAGCACTGCCATCTATGCAAAGTCATTCGCTCATTCAATACATCTATCTTGCTATCCAATCCCATTCAAACTCCTGTATATCCCATCCGTCCGTTAAATGCTATCGACCGAATGCCGTAAGTGTCATGCATACTTTTCTCTTCCATCGTCATCATCTCATTTCCCTTGTGTCCTGCCTCGTATTCGCTATTGAACCCATAACCGACATGGAATCCTATTGCTTACCCTCCTGCTCCCTCGACAGACGATCGTGCTCGTCAATATCACTAAAAAATTGTTAGCTGAGAACATATAAGAGCAAGATCAAAACATACGTAGCCTCCCAAGGATAACAAATCCAAACATCCCCCACCGTCCTCGCCGCACTATACCTGCCCTTGAGAATCTCCTGCGGCAACGCCCCCTTCTTCGCCTTATCCTTATTATGCAGCACAAAAATACTGAAATTCGTCTTCTCGCCTTCACGACCCAGTTTCTTGACCGCGGCTTCCACATCCTTCTCCAATTCCCTGACTGCGTATTCCAGCGTCGTGCGCGTGTCGTCGACCTCATCGACGATGAGCACGTTCTTGCCAATCAGATTCGCCATCTCGAGAGAAGATAGGTCGAGCCATTGTGTGCGTGTGACTTTTGTGCCGGGCGTCTCGACGTCTTTGTCTGTGGTTGTGGGGAGGGTTTCGTAGAGGGAGAGGCCGATGGCTTGGATGGGGATGTTGGGGCTGTTTTCGCGCTTGAGGAAGGATCTGGGAAGACGGGTTTGTTAGTTGGTGTGTCTGGTTTGGTATGTACGGTGTACGTGTGGGGTTTGGGGATATAATACCGGAGGATGCGCGCGGGGACGTAGCCTCCGCCGCCGATGGCGATCATGAGGTTGGGCTTGAAGTCATTGAGGATTTGGTCCGCGGCTTCTTGGCACAGCTTGTGCACCTGTGGGGAGGAGGGTTGTTAGCTGTATTCTTTGTGCTTTGTTTGCTGCTTCGTGTTGCGCAAGGGTTCGATTGTCGTGGTCGCATGTATACGATACGAGTCAAGTCTCTAGGATCGCTTTCCATAATAGCAGCATGGCGCGATACCAGCCTCGCGTCGTAAAAATCGTGGTGACACAGAGACACCTCACGCGCGTGCGTGCGTGGGGTGTCTGATCGCATGTGTAACATTGGACCTCGAAAGAACGTACCTGGTTGTATGTGACGTAAACCTTCTCGACCATTTTCGCGGTAGTATTCTGAATATTATCTCCAAGTGTAAAGAGTGGAATCAAAGTCAAACAGAGGAGTGGAATTGTTTTTGCAAAAAAAAGTCTGTCCGCCCGCGGGAGAGTCAAGAAATGGTTACCTACTTAGGTAGGCAAGGCTAGAGCGGCGTACGCCGAAAATCTATGGTGGGGGATTAGTGCCCCGCAATCTGGGTCTAGGCCAATCAGGTGGAACGTAGTTGTGATTCACATGCGCGCCTTGGTTCGTGGACCCTTCCGTAGCAGGTCTTGATTCACA